CTCTTCTCTTCTCTTCTCTTCCCTTCCCTTCCCACCCACCCCAGCCAAGAAAAGTTGGAAACAGAGCCATCGTTGAAAGAAGTCAAGAATCTTTCTTCAATTTCCCCCCTACCCCAGATCTGTTGTTAGGGTTAGGTTCCCAGATGTTCCCTCTTCTCTCTGCCAGACACACCTGGAAAATTTGGGAAGGCTGCAGCCTGGAGGACGAGCGCACAAAGGGAACCCCTCAGATGGGGTTGTCGTGCCTTGCTGTCAGCGGTGGGCATGTCAGAAGTGGAACTCAGTCCTATGCGGCTGAGGGGGCAGCTACCCCCAAAACATGGATGTCTATTTGGGCTTCTCTTTTTTCCTTCCAACAGCATTGAAGGCGCGGGGGGGGGGGGGGGAGTCTGATTCCTGAGAAGTTTTAAATGTGCCCTGAACGGAAAACAGAGAGAGACAAGAAAGAATGTTAGTTATTCCACTATTTTAAAAGGTAAGGCAAATTCACAGCTCCCTTTTGGGGGGACTAGAAGGAGATTCCCCACAGCCCAATCTTGACAGCACTCCGTAGTGCAAAAGTTGATTTTGCATAGATTTTTGAGGCATTTCTGACTTCTGGCAAATGTTAAGCATGTCAGCTGTAAGGATTGCACATGGTTTGGTCCCTGGGAATGAATGAGATGGGGCTGGGGGAAACAGATTGCTCTGGAAATTGGTCCACTGGAGAATTTTTGCCCTTTGCAAGCTGACCCTCATTTTATAGATTGTGGGATCAATGCAAATACATTTTCCCCCTGCCTCAAACAAACACAAGACTGTATGAAGTGCTGAGTCAAACCGCTGATGCAGCTTAGCATGGTTTTCTGCTGTTGAAGACCACAGATTTTTTTGGGGGGGGGGGAGAGTGCCAGAGGCAGCTGCTATTTTCCAGATGCTGCCTCGGGATGCAGCCCTTTGTGTTGTGGGTTTCTGGACAAACATCCCAGTTTAAAAAAGGCAGGGAAACACCCAGCTGTTCCCTTTCATCTCAAGGGAATTGTAAAACCTGGTGCTTAACATCCTCTTGCTCGTCAGCCAGCAGGTGCAAGAGGATCGGTAGCTAGTAGCCACCAGCGATCTACGTTCCTTGCAGAAAACCTCTTTGAAGAAAACAATGGCAGTTCAGTTGGATTATTTACCCAGCCAGCACTCTTTATAAATCCTTGAAACAAACAATTAACCAAAAACCTGCAGGGGCCAAAGTCATTTCCTACTGTTACTCTCTTATTGCCAGCTTGTCTGCGATCTCATTTTATGTCCTGAGCCTACTCAGATGATCTCTTTGCAGAAAGACCAGATTAATTCTGCTCTTGGGGTTATAGAGTGCTGAGATTCGCTGAAGCTCCTGTAACTGCTGCTGGAATTGCAGACCCTCCTTGGCCTTCTATTTCTCCTTCACGCTCAAGTTTTAACTCAAAACCATCTAAGGGGCCCTAGAACTCAGATTCGAAGAGTCAACCATGGTTTGGTTAACCCCAGGTATGTCCATTATGTAAACACAACCATCACAACCTCTGTGTGCTTGCTGGTCCTCCACTGCTCCTACATAATGCCATAGTTACCGGAAAGGATAACCATAAATTTAAGATTTGACTGACGTCAAAGGAAGAGGGGAGTGAACGTTTTCCGATGGTTCCTCCACCTCAACCCCACAAAGTGGGGGAAGGAGGAAGACTCCACCGCGATTTTAGCAAAACCAAGAAGGATCTGCGTATTTGGGTGACAGATTTTTCGCAGGGAGGCCAAGTCTCCCTTTTTGGAAAATCCATTTTTCTTCTCTGTCTCTCCTTCTCAGTCCATTCTCCCCTCTCCCCTCTCTTTATTCTGGAGAGGGGTGATAATGGAGAGAGAAAAGTGAAATCCTACTGGCTTAGATTCACTTTCTAGCCCTTTTCCCACCTGGCCGAAAGCAGGTCCAGTAAAACCTGCGGTGGCATTCCCGCACGTCAGTTCTTGCTTAGGGGTAACTTGGGGTCTTTCGACACTCAGTGTGCGTGGTCGGGTCGGGAGCGCGGCGAGCCCTGGGACCCAGAAACGTGCAGGGCGTCGTGTGAACGAGCCTCGCTCTCCTTCCCTCCCACTCCAAACGGCGCAGGGGAGGGGCAGAGAAACTGCCCCCCCCTCCAAAAAAAATGAAGAGGAAGGAATCA